ATAGTTGGCATATTCATCATGACAAAATGTGTTCATTCTTTGTGTCCATTAACCAATTCATTTTCCATTTACTAATAGCTGAAAAATAAAAGAATATTTTGTGAGACATGAAAATTGTATGAAAGCCAAACAGTGGTGTCCATAAATAAGTTTTATTGAAACACAATTGTGCCTACTCATTTACCTATTGTCTATGGCTACTTTTGTTCTACAACAGCTGTGTTGTATAATTGCAACAGAGATCACATAACCCACAAAAACTAAAATATTTACTGTCTCACCCTTTAATAGAAAGTAGTCAATTTCTTCACTAAGGTAAAAAAAAATCCTGTAAATACACAGAAAAATAAGAGGGTCACATAATTGATTCTCTAATTAACCTAATTAAATGACTATGTTGGCGCCCCTAATGATCTCCACTAAAGATCCCCCACAGTGCAAATCAACTCAACTCACATGGCTTTAGCAAAACAACTTACCAATAATGCACTCAGCAAAGAGAATAGCCCATCATGCTTAGCGCATTCTCAGAGATTCCAGAAAAGCATATCAGAATATCACATAGATTTGATTTATTTCCTAACCAGAGCTTTCACTCTTGACTCTGGGCTGAGGGTCTGCTTCCTTCTCTATTGCACAGCCTCTTCCCTGCTATGCTATAAGGACGAAGAAATCATCCCCGGCCTAGCTGGGGAAGAAGCAAGTGCCATATATGGGATGCTAGAGATGCATTTCTCTTCCTGCTTCCTTGGAACAGATTGGAAGCTGCCAATGCCCCTGGGACCTGATTATCCACCATTAATCTCCTCGAATCTAAGCACCACCAGAGCTGTGGGACGAAACTGGAAATTGTCTCCTCCAGTAGCAAAGAGCTTCCGAATACATGATGTAAGTCTTTCAAGGATCCCTTTTTTTCCCCTTATCCTTTGCAGACTGAGAAGCGAGGATACTCCCCCTACAGGGGTGAGCTGAGCAAATGAGCTGCTATGGCCAGTGGAGACCAAAAGAGCAGGAGTAAGTGGCTTCTATTCACCATCGTCCCCACTCCCATCCCCACCACCTCCCTACCACCATGTAAGACCCGGGAGAGAAATGAAACCCGGAAAGTAAGTCATAATGAAGGTACACCTCACCAGGGACCCTTACAAAGAAAAAAGACAAAATCTTCAAAACTGGAGAGTTTTCTAATATTCCGAATAGTCTTTTCCACCCTGCAACACCCCTGTTCCTCCTCCATGCCCTGAATTTCTGCTCCACATCCACTACGTATGATGTTGTGAGTCTTCATTCCCTGATCCCTCACCCTGTAGGTAACAGGTTCATTTTGCTTTGTGTAAAAGATGAGTCTTCATTTCTTGATCCCTCACCCTGTAGGTAACAGGTTCATTTTGCTTTGTGTAAAAGAGGTATCTTTGAAAAGTCTGGCATTAATCTAACTTTCTCCTGATTTGTCTTTAAATCCAGAAATGTCCTCCTTCAAAACTTAATTGCTTGCTTATGTGACTCATTTCTGTTGAGCACCTGCTACATGACCTGTAATCCGTGTAGATGGATAATCCCTGTAGATAAATAAAACACAAGTCTTGTTCTCAAGGACCATAGAGTCTAATTGGAGCATGATCAAGTAGAGAGACACTAGCAGTAAGTCAAGTAGGTGACACAGATCCTTGGGGTAAATGGTGTGGAAGCTTAGAGGAGGAGGAGGAGCCAACTGGGAGCCAGGAAGGTCTCCGGTGGAGGTGACGCTTCATTGGAAGCCAACATCAGGGTTCCGAAAGGGAGGCAGGGGAAAGCAGGAGAGCAATGGAGAGGAGAGGTGATTTAGGCAAAAGAGGAGATGCATGCAAACTTCGGCTCCTAGAGCAGACACGTGGTGATGATGATGATGGTGGTGATGACTCCTGAAGAAAGGCAACATGGCAAACCAGGGGAAAGAGCAGAGCTAGAGGAGGCCAGGGATGGAGGCCTCTCCCATTTTCACTGCAGATACAGCTCTGCACTAGGTCAGCTCTGGCTCAGTCCAGAGAGCTCAGGGTGGTCCTGCCCCCTCTGAGAGCCACTGGCATCAAGTTGCTGCTCTTCAAGGTAGACTCTGGAAACCACCTTCCTCGGAACAGATGCCACCCTGAAGCTACATATATGAGTTTAAACTTGGTGCAAGAGAAGGTCATAAAGAGACCTCAGGAAAGTCCTTGCTTTCACCTTGCTGGGTCTCAGTTTCTCCATTTGGGAAGGATCCATTGGTTTGATCTCTAAGATCCCCAGTGGCCTCGGATTTTCATCAGCTCCTCCATTTCTCGTGTTTCTCCAGAGCTGCTATCTCAGTGTTTGTCTGGCATCTTTATGGTCAATGCTGGAAAAAATAAAACAATACACATCTTTGTTTCCTGCTGTGTGGGAGGCAGGAAATGGCCTAACTCCCTAATTGCAATGAGGTTCCTGCGGTGTGTCCAGCCGCCCACTCCTCAGCATGTCCCCATCCTCCCAGGTGTCTCAGCCAGAAATGAGGGCACGCTCGGCCACCAGCAGCCAGAATCTACCCACCACCAACAACAGCTGCCAACCATATCCCTGCCTCTGTGGGGTGTAGGAAAAAATCAAGGTGTGGATAGAGATCGCATTTGCGGAGCCTCCTCTACAAGCAAGGGGAGACCGAGTGTGCCTGGGAAGGGTCTCCTAGTCAGGAATCTAGGCTGGGCATCACGCTCTCACTGGCTGCACATGGGAAGAGCAAGGGGAGGTACCAGCTCTAGTGGAGAAACTGAAGCACAGGCAGAATTTAGGACTCTGTTGTCAGTGCAAAGGGGTTAGAAAGAGAATAAATTAGGTGGGGGCCAGATAGTCAGAAACTAGGAAAACCAGTGGGAACCAAGAGTCAAAGTGATTGAAAGATAGGGCCTGGTGCTGCCAGAGCTGTGGGTACCCAGCAGGAGCTGCCATTAATAACTCATAGACCCGTGCCTGGGGGGGTGGGAAGCATTATTAAGGGAGACTCCCTGGTTTGGGGGATCTACTGGACACTTTATGTTGGTGTCTCTCCTAGTGGAATGCACTTTGCTTCTCAGTTTCTAATAGAGGCAAGATAAGACTCACAAGATAGGACCCTTCATCACACATCAGATCCTTCCTCCTGCCCTGAGGAGGACGGCTTCCGCCCATGGCATTCTTGACATGCCATTTTTATATTAACCATTCCATCTCAAGGTTGGACCTTAATCAATAACCCACTATGGAGGTGGGCGATGAGTCAAGGTCCCATAGTGAGTGGCGGCATTGCAACTAGAACCCAAGTGCCCTGGTTTTCAATCTACTCTGCCTGACTCCCAGCAGCAACGCAGGGCATGGCCCTTTTGTCTGCCTCCCCAGGCTACAGAAATTAAGAAAGGTAAGTGGAAGTCCAACTAATTAATGAGAGGCATGAACAAGAGCTGCCTGCTTTAGAAATCACACCTTGTCTTGGAGCAACCCATGGTCCTTGGTAACCACCTGCTATCTGGCTCCTCTGCAGGCACATATGGCTGGTCTGCCCCAGCAGGGCCCTTTCCGGCACTTCATGGACATGAAGGTGGAGAAGAGACTGGCCAGCTGGAAGGAGCGCCGCAGCCATTTTGGAGATGTTAGCATGCACAAGTGCTATCGGTTTGGGCAGGTCTTCTCCCCTTTCCAGGCCCTCTCCACCGTGGTGAGCTTTGCTTTTGCAATGGGTTTTAACATTCTTTTGGTGGGACCAATGACAAATGCCAATTCTTTCTCCATTTGAGGAGTGTATTAGTCAGTTCTAGCTACAATAATGTTGCGTAACAAACAACCCTAAAACTCAGTGGCTTACAGTCACAAGCATCTACACTTCCCACTCATAGTCTGCAGAGAAATACACTCCTTCCACCTTTGTGCACTGCAAGCTCACAGGGCAGGAGGGAGTAAGAATTGAAAATAATCTCATCTGCCATAAAAGACTAAATCTAGCCTACCTAAAGGTCAGTGACCTGGGGTTTGGGGGGAGATCTGAAGGCAGATGGCTGCAGCTGTGGTGTTCAGAGACAAGGTCACCTCAAGGGAAGGAAAAGGTCTGGAAAAAGGGGGAGGGTTTTGTGGTGTGAAGAAGATGGCTCTGGTTCCCATCCCTCTACCTCGCTTGCTACCTTCTTGACTCAAGTCAATTCAGACGGGACTATTCCAAACCTCATTTCCTTGAAACTATTACTGTTATGTCTTTGTGATACTTTCTAAATATACATTCTGGTGGTTCTAAAATTTGAGCATGCATATGAATCACTTGGGAAGCTTGATTAAAATGTAGATTCCCAGGCTTGTAGTGATTCCAATTTAGAGGGTCTTGGGGTAGAGCCTTGAATTTCCTTTGTTAATGATTCTGTTCACCACGTTTATGCATTATTACTCAGTGAGCACTTCCCAACTTTGTTCATTTCCTGGCACACACAGAGAAAGTGGTTCATTGGAGGACACACTGGGATGAATTTAGGAGGTTGCTCATGGGGCTAGTCAACCAGTGTCCCCAAGGCCAGTATGTCAGGCCACAGCTCAACAGTGTGCCCTGTAACCTAGGTCAGGAGCTTTGGCTCATCAGTACTTATCTTTTTCTGAACATCAGAATCACCTGAGTAATTAGCCATGCTAATTTCCAGGCCTCACCTGAGAGCAATTAAATCAGAAACTCTGGGACTTTCCAATTTTGGGCACTAAAAGTTCAGAGTCCTAGACAACCCCTAGGTCCTAGTTTTAAAACTGAAATTCCCAGGTCTTTCGAACCTGGGCAAGCCAGATAATTGGTCATTCTATCCACAGGTAATTCCAATGTGTAGCCAAGTTTAAGAACTACTGCTCTCTGAACTTTCTAGAAACTAGCCCCAATTCCTCATGTCACAGGTTGTTGCTGCCCACCTATCCATTCACTGGCCAGCATTCCTTAAGCATGTGCATGTGCACAGTCCAGAGCTGAGAATCTGTGGAAAAGCCAGGATTGGAAATCCCAACCCTACCCTGAAAAAGCTTCTAATATGCCAGGGAAACCAAACCACTTGCCAACATCACGCTGCAAACACAAATACGATGAAATAATAATGAGAAGAACAGCTCCATGAATTGCAGACCCAAAAGGAGATGAGGTTTATCCAAATTTGAGCTGCTTCCTGCTAAATCTAACCCCCTCAAGGTCTTGCTGAAGAACAAAGTCTCCAATTAGGGGCATCTTATCCACCCACAGTGACACTTGGGGTGAGCAGATCTCCCATGTATTGGGATTAAAAGGACCCATGTATTGAGCTCTTACTACATGTCAGGTATAGTGCCACAGATGGTACAAATACTTAGTCCTCATGACCTCCACTGTGTCAGCATCATACTTATTTTATAGATGAGGAAACAAAATCTCAGACACATTACATAACTTGCCCAAGATTATTATTACTCAGTAGCAGAGCCAAGATGTGAACCTGGTGGTCTGGAACTGGTGCTTCCAGCCCCCACACTCTGTTTCATTGCCATATTCTCTGCCTCGTAGGAGATGCAAAGACTGGTGTTTCCCCGAGACCCGCCCATGAGTACCCACATACAGAGAATGGGTACTTTGTGCCCCACCGATGTGAATCTCCAGGATTTATCCTTGTTTTCCACAGAGTTGGGCTTGGGAAAGGATGACAGCAACCATGAGAAAGAGAAACCAGTGAGCCACGTTAAAACACCTTTATTCCCCCCAATAGTTAAAGCAACAAAATCTAATGACATAAAATAAAAATTGCAAAACTGCCTTCTGATCCTTGGCTACAAGGCTTTGCACTAAAGCAATTAGATCTCAGGGACCCAAGAATGCTGAGACATTCTCCAACCTGACAATTTTTAGAATAACTTGAGGAACACCAACATCATGCCTTTGCGTGAATACTTTGGGGAAAGGGAAACAACTGGGAATAGCAATACTCAACCAGAACTGAATTCTCAATAGGAACACTTTTTTGGAAGTCTGAAGATGAGTGAAAGAAGAGTTACAGTTCAATGAATCAAGGAACCCACTCTTTCCATCCTTCTGCTCTACCAACACCAGACTGTTGTTTGGTAATCTCAGGTTTAACTCCTCATGGTTACAAGATGGTTGCCACTGCACCAAACACCACATTCCCACAGAGCACATCAAACACTGGAAGGATAATAGTTCTCCTCATTTTACACACACACACACACACACACACACACACACACACACACACGGAGAACCTCTTCCAGAAGCCACTAATAAGATTTCCCAACAATTCTCCTTGGCCAGTATGGGGTGGCTTGCCCATGTGTTGTTAACTAAGAAGAAAGCTCAGAAAGCGAGTATTGGACATACACCGGGAGGCAAATTCTACCAACAGGAAAAGAAAGTAGGAAAATGACCGATGGGGAAGCAATTATTGTCTGCCACAGTGGGACACTCAGCAGTTTGCAGGTTAGACCATTACAATGAGAAATTTCTATTTTGCTGAGTAAAAATCTGCCTCATCATTTCTAAGCATCAATCCTAAGCCTGCTCCTCTTAGAAGACTCCTCCACCCTATATAGCTTTTGTTTTCCTTTGATTTTTAAAAGTAATATATGCTTATAATGAAAACAACTCAAAGTTATAAACAAGAAAATAATTACCCAAAATCTCCCCTTTAGAGATAACTTGTGTTTGCATCTGGGAACTTTTAGGTCACTTTTCAATCTCCTATTGATAATGCTGAGGTTGTCTTTGGGCCGAGATCACATTCCACAGTATGCAGCAGGTGACCTTTTGGCACCATTTTCCAAAATCTTTGAGAGTCACCCAGTCCACTTCCAGGTCACCTGGTCCACTTCCGGGTCACCTCCCAAGTGGCTGTGGTTACTAAGATAATGGCTTCCTTTGCACTATAGCTCTGTACCGGGTGAGTGGCCTATCATTTCCTTGCTTCAGGCTTTTGAACATACTAAACAACCCCCCCCCCAAACAAAAACAAAACCTATTCCTTCTTTTTTTTTGTTTTTAATCCTTAACTTTTTCACAGAGGGCTTAACTTTTTTTTTTTTTTTAAATGCCGTCATGTTTATTTCTGAACTATGTGATATGCGGAAGACACCAGAGGTCTCCCCTTTTTTGGTATGTGTCCTCTTTCAATCAGGGTAAACAGCTCTCTTTGCAGCTATGGTGCTTCATTTAATTATCTCCTTGCATTTCATCGCACTGACACCATCTACAATTACACAGGCAGAATTGTGTATTTTAGTGTTTCCCGTTCCTCTTCAGCCAAGAGTTCACCAATTTTACAAACCTTTTGTAATTAAAGTGTTTTCTTTAGCTCTCTCAACCTTTTATTATGAGTACTTATTAATAACAAGTTTACAGAAATTAGACATCTTTTCACCTATTTTTCCTTCTCCTATGATTTTTATTTTTGATTTATTTTTTATTGTAACATAGTTGATTGTACATATCTGTGGGATACAGAGTTGAATATCAACACCTGTGTGCAATATGTGATGCTCAAAACAGGATAATTAGTATATTTAACAATACACAATGTAATAGTTTTTCGAGGTCCTTTACCAATTCCTCCCTTACCCCTCCTCCACCTCCTCTTTCCCACCTCTGGTAACCTCAGTTCTGTTCTCAACTTTTGAAAGTTCAACATATTATTGTGATTGTTTGTTTGTTTCTTTCCTTCCTTCCTTCCTTCCTTCCTTCCTTCCTTCCTTCCTTCCTTCCTTCC